AAAACAAAAAGATATAGAATTATAGAAACTATCTTTAATCTTAATCCCCTCCCCTCACACACACACACACACACACACATTAACCATTACTGCAAATATCGCATATATACATCTCTATACAAATATCTTAATCTGACCCCCACTCCCCTAGACACCGAGGTTTTGGATCCGCCCCTGTTAAATGTATCTTATAATATTATACATTTAGCTATGCATTTTTTATTTCAATGTGTAGACTGTCGGGGAGTTTCTTCAGAAAGGGTTTTCATTGGAGGCGTTTTTGCCATGCACGCAGGCATTTGTTTCTATCCATGAACAGGTTGTGTGTCAAAATAATTATTATTACTTGTCACTCTCATTTTTTGCTCGACCTGGCCATTATTGGCATTAACAGCCGGTGCACGAACTCGCACGAACGCCAAATTTAGTTAGAGGGGTGATATTCCGACGCGTAGTTTTAATTCTTGGTCACTCGTGTTTAGAAAGAAAGGGGGAAATCCAAATATTGCATTTAAATGACAAGTTATACCAATTGAATAACAAAATATTGAAATTGAATGACAAATTATACCATTTGAATGGCAAATTATACCATTTGAATAAAAAATATTGCATTTAAATGAAGAAATATACCAATTAAATAAAAAATATTGCATTTAAATGAAGAAATATACCAATTAAATAAAAAATATTGCATTTAAATGAAAAATATCAAATTTTTGCAACCAATACCATGCCATAGTCTTGTTAGTTTTACGATTACAAAACACGGATCAAATTATTTTAACATGTTCTCGTTAGTGACATGCATTTTCTAATTTCTACTAGACGTTGAACAGCTATCAATTAATTTAAAAATGCGCAATTGCCACGGATACAGATTAAACGTCTTGTTTTATAGAATTATTTTATTTTTGCTTACCTAAAGTTAGAACTGTACCAACACTTTTGTTTACTTGTACTTAATGCATTTTGTGTCTGATTTATACATTGATATTGTGTCTGTTATAAGCTGTTTTGGCAATATAATATGATAAATGTAGTATTGTTTTACATAGTTTTTGACATTTGAATAGTTAAAAAAATAACCATAAAGTAGGTTTGTTGGTAACAATCTGTTTCGTGGCAAATGCCAGCAATCGTTGATATTTTCATTCTTCATTTTTGACAGTTACCATGAATTAAAAAAAGCACCTACAAATGGTTGACCTTTATAGAAAGTTTTGCGTATTGTTTTCCATTTCTGTACAAAATGATGTAGTAAATTAATATGCCTATGAAAAGGTGCTATTTGAGAAATTTGATAAAAATGATAAGTTTTCACTTACTACTATTTAAATATTCTAAAATTCCCCCAGGCAAAGTTTACTGAAGATTTGCCTATTGTACCAGTTTATGTTCTTTCTGTAATGAAGCCCTGGCACATTGTATGTATGTATTACCAGAACTTGTATGCTGAAGCTTATCATATTAAAGATATTTCAAAAACAAATGATTAGTAATTTCTTGCTTTGTACATTGAATTGTAATAGTAAAGATATATTGAACCGTTTTCTTAAAAATGTTTTTGAAATACCAAATCCCATATTAAGTTTAAAAAGCAATTACTAAGCTATAAATTAGCAAAATGTGCATGTGATGCATCACATTAACTGAATTTATTTTAGTTATTATTACTGTCATCCATAAAAGGTATTACTTGCAAGATACCTACGGCCTTTGCACTATGATGAAATACTTTGATATTGACACCAAAGAAATTTCAGTAGCCATATTTAGAAAATTTTAATTGTCTGCCGTAAACCTTATTTGACTTAATCATTTTCTTGCTTATTCATACCAAACCTCAAAAAACAACGCAGAAAACATCTTGCAAGGCTGTTTAATTTAAGGTTCAGATATTTTGATGATGTCCTGTATCTCTAATGAATAAAAAACGAGTGCTTGTATATATCCCAGTGAACAGTTTCACTCAGGATACAACTTAAACAAGAGTGTCTGCTTATATACGGATATTTTTTGTCGATATCGAAAACTTCCCATTTTGTCATTAAAATTAATGTCTCTACCCAATCGTAGCATGGGCAAATATCGCGTTTGATTCATGCTCAATGTGCCCACTATGCGGACTTTATTTATATGTTATGCTAGTAACTAAAATCTGCTTACAAACTCGATATCAAAAAATTTTCAAAACATTTACTAAATTTTATCATCGCTACAAGGACATCATTCGTAAATATAAATCAACGTGCAGATATCTTATACGTTCAGGCAGTCCACATACATTCTTTTATAGTAATATTCTATATAAAGCAAAAAATGTCGGCATTCACGTCAAATACTAAACAAACCTTTAAACAGACTTATTCACAAAGAGTATAGTTACGATACTGTTGTCAAGTCATCAAAGATGGTATCCCTTGGAATTAATATTGATTTTTTCAGGGTATTTGCATAAGAATTAAACTCATTTATTCTAAAACCAGTTGTTGACATGATACGGAGTATGTTCTTCTCGTAAAGGTGCCTCGGTGGCCGAGTGGTCTCAGTAGTCAAACTACTGTATCACTAGCCTGAGGTTGTGAGTTTGAATCCCGCACATGGCAGGTGCGCTCGATTCCAATCTTAATTGACTAAGATCGTCAGTTTTCTTACTGAATGTCGGTGGTTCTCTCCGGGGAGCTCCACCTTCCACCAATAAAAATTGACCGCCATGAAATAGCACAATAATGCTGGAAGTGGCAATAAACATCAACCAATCAATCAATCAATCAATGAATCTTCTGGTATAATTTATGATGGCATGTTACTTAACCCCTAACGGGAGGGATTGTGGTTAATATTCATATCATGACGACATATTCTCTCAATCAGTTTAATTGAAGTCTGGAGCTGGCATGTCAGCAACAGCCAGTAGTCCTTTGTTTTATCGCCCTTGAACGTTCTCCATTTGGACTTTCTATTGGCGTCTACGACGAAATTTGTTTTCAAAATGCGCATGTGGTAAATGAAATTCATTTCGGGCACAACAAATTTATCAAGTGTTAATTTCATTTTTTCTTGTATTTTATGGGTCAGTATTTGGTTACAAATAACAGTAGAAAAGATTTCTTGACGACTGCTTTATTTTTGGAGTAAATCTGTCAGCAATTTAAAAAGCTTTAGCGACATTCTAATCTCAATCAATGCACCCCTCTATACAATTCACGATGAAAGATAGTAATGTAGAACTCCCATTTTCGGATATTCTTGTAAAAATTTACGGCAATAAAGTTATCACCGATATATATACATGTATTTAAAAAAGACGGACAGCCATCAGTACTTAAGCTTATCACATCACACACAAAAAATAATATTCCTTACTGCATGGCTAGACGGGTGTTCACTATTGTACTTCATTCAATTCATCTTGACATAAAATACAACAGAATATATCTTATAATGATCAAATGACACTTATATTGGCTATATGGTCTAATAATCATAATGGAAGACTCCTTGTCTCTAAATATTACTTTTCCTGATCTTCTTTTTTTACATTCAAACATGAAAATAAAAAAAATAAAAAATGCCAAATTGTTCTATGGTAAACACAGTCAATTTAAGGCTCCTCAAATTACCACCTTTATTGACTCCATGCATAAACTAAACAATGAATGTAAAACTGAACTTGTAACTTCTACGTCATTTGCTCTCTTGTGGAGAGTTGGCAATCAGACCACCACTTTATATTTCTATATGTAAGTCGTACGCATTATAGAACCTTCATTTCATCTTACTAACGGTTTTTGAGAACTGCTGCGGTCATGTTGAGTGCGAGAAACCGGAAGAAAAATAACTAGAATTGCCATTGCAAGCAATAACGACTGTCACCCGAACTTGCCATTGTCATGGTAATTGCAGCCGTTTTGAAAATACCAAAGTCAAAAGGCACATGCATTTTGCTGTTTCCATGGTAACGGTCGGCATTTTGAAAACCATAAAACAAATGTCTCATTGGCACATGACAGGTAACATTTTAATACAGATTTACTGGGTTCGATATAATATTCTGTAAGAAAAGGTTACAGTAATGTGTTTTCCCATTGTTCCATTATACAAAAATATGCTCAATTTAGGAAGCCCTAAACTTTGTTTGGGAGACTTAAATGCATTAAATCTAGCTCTTTCAAGGTAAAATTTATACCTGTAGCTTTACTATCATGACCACAAGATTGATACATTGATTGTAGATGGTGCTGAGTTTTGTCACGGTGACGGAAGACAGAGTGCTCAGAGAGAACCACCGACCTTCGGCAGGAAATCTTGCAATCATTGGAATTGAACGCACCTGCAACTAGTGAGGTTACAACTCAATATCTCAGTTTTGATGGGCTAGTAATACATGAACCAGTTAGACCATTCGGCCATCGAGGCCCATCATGGTCATAATAAAAAAAATGATAAAACAAACAATAGTCAACAAACCACTACACAGAAAACTCAACATTCCATTTGCTGTAATTGAATTTCAGGTCCTTTTTGGTCATTTAGCTCTTTAACTTTTTCGGTTCTTATACATCCTTAGCCTTCAAATATTCGGCTTTGAGAGCGTTTCTGATGAAGGTAAGTCCAGAAAAGCGCTTCGAACACATAAAATCTATAATGTGTTGTTTTCATTTTTTTTCACTTTTACCGTGCAAAATATTTTACAAAAATTTCATTTAAAGACAGATAAATTGAATATTGATAATCAAATGAAAAAAATACTATTTCGTTATAATTACAGTTCGTTAAGGAAATGAATACAACCCACCTATTTGTAAACACGTTTGTTTCACATAAAACTATGATTGTCAAATTAGTACGAAAAGTGTAAGAGAATGCTTTCTCAGTGAAAATTTACATTTTATAATTAGAATACACTCACTACTTTTGTTAATCTTAAATAAATAACAAGGAAGAATGTCAATAGGGTTTGTCGTTGTAGTTGGATGGGTTCTTTGTAAGTTAAATATACCTAAAGGGATATTGATGAAGTTTTTTTAAAAGTCATATTAATGGCAATTTAAGGGAGTATAAACATTTTAAAAACATTAATTGCTGAAATGGATAATTATTCAAGTTCGAGATGGAATACAACTCTGGATTTGTCAGCGTGGAGTGAGGAATACTCTAAGAGGGTGGTGATAAATAGTGTTATAACCGTACTTTTCCTCCGCATAGGAATAATTGGAAATTTATTGGTCATACTTGTATATTCTTTTAGAATGAAAAAGATCATGACAGATAGATATTTTATCCCCATTTTAGCTGGATTGGATTTATTATCCATATGCTTTGCCGCATCATTGAATTTATCCCGGAACGTTCGACAATTTACTTTTCCAGGAAGTACGACATGCAAAGTTTTTATTTATATGGCATATGTATTCTCGTATTCATCTCTCAATATGCTTTTAATTATTGCTGTTCATCGTTTTCAAAAGGTGTGCAGACCCTTTAAGACACAGATGAGCATATTTTGGAAAAGACTAGCGACTGTGATATGCATCATTGTTTCCGCTATCTTCCATATTCCCATATTGTTATTCTACGGTACAATTACCATAAAACACCATACAGCAGAAATTTATGGGTCGCAATGCAATAAACTTCGAGATTCGAAAACATCTCACTCTCTAAAAATACACCAGCCATTTGACATCGTCTACAATGCTGGGCTGATATTAAGTATAACCGTATTGTATTGTTTGATTGGAAGAACAATATACAGGAAAACTAACTTGTCAAAACCACATCAAATCGAACATGATGCAGACTTTCATAAGAACACTTGTGAGGGAAAAACAACCAAAAGTACTCTTCATTCCACGGAATTACACACTGCAGGCAAGAAATCGATTCCAGGTGTAGACAGTCCAAAGGAAATTATCGAAAGCGCCTCAAGCACATGTGGCGACAGTACAACAGAAGACGGAAGATCAAACTGCAAAGCTGATGAACATCAACATCATACTAAAATTGGCAAGAAAATTCGTGGCCATTTCCACATATACAGATTTTCATACATGTTTATGTTAATATCTTTTTTGGCACTGCTGTCATATATTCCTCCAATAGTTTTGATTTTACTTGAATCAAGAAATGATAATTTTTGGAACAACATGTCACAAAATAAACTGCTTCTGCTTTTGTTCCTGCGACGCCTGTATATGCTTAATAACTTTGTGAATCCATTTGTTTATGGGTGTTTTGATACAGCATTCAAGAAAGAATTAAAGAAAATGTGCTTAAGCTTGTCTTTCCTAAGGCTCAATTTCTAGACGGATTGTCACAGTCCCTGCTCCAACAAAGCACGTTGTCAAAAATTAGTTATAGAATTATAATTTCTGAGATCGTTTTAAGATTTACAAAGTATTAAAATGTGAAATCTTACTAAAAAGATTCAGAGTAAGGGCTTTATTTGATCTTACAAATTTGAAAATGTCACCCCTAGAAAAAAAACAGATTTATCCGATTTCAATTTTTGAAGTTCGTATTTGGGCTCAAACTGCATCTTAAACTGAGAAATAAATAGCCTTAGGTTGAAGGATATGCATCAATTTCGTTTTGTAACTGGGAAGAAATAATAATTTTGCCAAAAAATGTGCATTACATTGTGTAACATTTAAACAGTGTATAAATGTACAACTTACTGTATGTTTAACAGGTTATATCTTAAATATAAATAGATTAAAGCTGTATATCTAGGATATTTACTGAGTTTATCGCCACCATTATACTGGTTGCTAGGTAACAGAATATACGAGATAGACCCAAAATGCCACCATTTTCAGAAGGTCTGTGGTATAGAGTTACAGCTGACAAATTAAATAAATTTTGGGGGTGGTGCCAAAAACGGCCCATATCGCCCCTTGTCCTTTATGTACATTTATAAACAGGATAAATAAAGAGTATTGTAAGTTATAAATAACTGCATATTAATTATTTCATTACTAACAATATATATATACTTTCGTGTCATTTATTTGATATTTATTGTTATGATTAACAGGTACAATATAGATCGTCCCATGGTTTTGAAAATAGTTAGAAAGAATATTACCGTAATTCTACGAAAACAATATGTTAAAGTATATTATACAGGAAATGACTGTACCAAGTCAGGAATATGACAGTTGTTTTCCATTCGTTTGATGTGTTTGAGCTTTTAATTTTGCCATTTGATAAGGGACTTTCCTTTTTGAATTTTCCTTAGAGTTACTTTTGTTATTTTAGTTTTTGAAAACGTAATTTACCATCTGCCGTTTTTTACAAGTGATGTGTCTGAAATGTCGGTCGAGGCAAATACATTTTTGAATCAAAACATAAAACTAACTTGCTAAGCTGCAAGATAAGCAAATAAACAAAGGAATGATCATGAATGCTTATCTAAAACCTATGATTTTTGTTGCTCTCTTTGTATCTTGTCCACCTCTTTGGTCTACGTAAATTTTTGGCCAGAATTCAAACGTTTACTTATCATTTGTATTAACCCCTATCTATCTACACTACAAATATTGGCATGCACTCTGCTTTTACACTTTTTGTCTACTTTATAAACTCTATTAAACAGCGATAACTAGATTACGATTGTAATGTTATATTTTCTGTTGTGATATATAGTACAGCTTATACAGAGATTTTACATTTGTTTTATATCGTATGATTTTCAAGATAACGGTTTTTCTTTACCTTATGATCAATACTGAAGTATATCAATTTAAACATAAATAATGAAGCAGTACAATACTAAACTTATGTTAAGTCAATGTAACAACTACCACAGTCAGAGACACCAAACAGATATTTAGTGAACGATGCTTAAAATATTATGAGCCCTTTTAAAGCAAAATCAAATAATAAATTAAAATCCATAGATTTTTTTTTAATAATTAGTCAAAATGTAGTTTATGTCATGCTTTTTTCAAAAATATAATAAAAAGTATAGGTCACCGGGCTTTTTATCACGCTACAGGTTGTGTGCAAAATTTTCGGATTTTGTATAGTTTATGCATGGAAAATCCAATTTTGTTTGATAAAAAGAAAACTTCACCATAGAATTTTAAGATAAAATATGAGAAGATAGCTCTAATAATATGCTTTCAAATCAGAAAAAGAAAAAATGGGATCACCGGACTCGTTTTCTTGCTACATAATAAAATATGTAAATTCACAACACATTATAATATAAAAGTTACTTTATTTGAGTTATGTCCCCTTATATCTGAGTTATCTACCCTTATGTGGCAAAGTTGGAAAAAAGTGAATCAAACAAAAATATTCTGTATTTTGTAAAATACAGCCATAAATATGATAAAACACATAATTTTCTATATAAATATGACAAGTCTTACACATGAATTACATTCTTCTCTCGAAATTTGCACATTTCATTAAAGATCTAGACCGATTGCTATCTGCTATTTCAAAATCCAAGATGGAAGAAGACTTCCCAGCCACCTTAAGAAAAAAAATATTTTTGTAATTTCCTGCACTACAAGCAATGTTGATTAGTTTGATTTTTCACGAAAAAAGTTATCCTTCTTTATTCATCATTTTTTGCTTCTGGTAATTTTTTCACAAGCAACTTACTAAACTAATTATAAATTAAATAAACAGATGCTGTTTTTGTATTTTGTCCCCCTGTTATGGCAAAATGCTGTCTTGAGTTGCTTCTCTTTTTCCACTCTTTCGACATACATAAAACAGTATATTAACGAACGTTCTTTTTACATTATCAACATGCGGACATTTTAATTACTTCGTTATTGTTTATAGATATAAGAAGATGTGGTATGAGTGCCAATGAGACAACCCTCCATCCAAGTCAAAATTTATAAAAGTAAACCATTATAGGTCAAAGTACGGTCTTCAACACGGAGCCTTGGCTCACATCAAACAGCAAGCTATAAAGGGCCCCAAAAATTACTAGTGTAAAACCATTCAAACGGGAAAACCAACGGTCTATTCTATATAAAAAACGAGAAACGAGAAATACTTATGAACCACATCAACAAATGACAACTACTGAACATCAGATTCCTGACTTGATCGTGTGTTGTTGCCAATTGGGGTTTTTTCTGTACAATTTTTCACCTTTAAGGTTTCAGACAGAAAAAAATCTTTCCACCATTTATTAGATTAAAATACTAGTACCAGAAAACGTCTGAAACGCACAGTTCAATTTTCGACACAAATAATATGAAGTTCTGTTAATCTATCGCTTCAATAAAGGGAAATTATTTGAGATAAAACTATTTCTCTAAGTTGATCACGATTTGTCCTTTTCCTGACCTGTTGAATATTTTTATTTAATCAGCGTGTGGTTCGTTTGATCTCAGTTCTTCGTTGGTTAAAATTCGATTATGACATCAAATGTTCTTGCTTTCCTCTGAATTTCATGTTGTGACGTCATGATAAAAGGCGACCATGTCTGATGACGTCACATAGAAAGAACACATCTTTTTGCAGATCTTTCGAAAAGAAGGATTGAGTTTGTCTACATATCGTTAAAAAATCATAAGATAAACAGATTCCACCATCAATTATGGTGCAAGACGATATTTATCCACTCTCGACAGTTAAATTTTTAATATCTAAAATGCTCGGCGAGCTTCGCGTTTCAAATTTGAAAATTTAACTGTCTCGAGTGGATAAATATCGTATCACAATCGATACATTAATAGAATCTATATATAATATCCTTTCCTGATTTTCAATTTATAAAAAAAACATGTATTGCCCGGCAAACGAGTGAAAACAATTATTCTGAATAAGTCCCTTTAAAATTGAAAAAAAAAATAATTGGATTTTCCGTGGTTAAAATATCATGTAACAGAGAAAAAAAACATAACCCCAATAAATGATGAAAATCCCAGAACTCCCGCATTTGTCAAACAAAAATGGTGGTATATACAAATAAGAAGATGTGGTATGATTGCCAATGAGCCAACTCTCCACAAAAGACCAAATGACTTAGAAGTTTATAACTATAGGTCACCATACTAAATATTCCAAGTGTGAGTGCTGTGGGGAAATCAATCTCGGTAAAGAAGTGTTCACAAATTGTCAATATGGAATAATAGGCAAAACAAAATAAGAGAAGTAATTTGAAACATACGAAAACTATATTTATAGACAATATTACAAAAAGATATTTGATATTCTTCAAATGCGTCACGGTGAAACTAACTTATCGAGACACAGATTTTCTCTGCTACATTTGCAAAAGAGGATCCTGAGTCTAAGTGACACATTTATTTTTTTTCTAAAGAAAAAGTGAATTATGAGAGTTCAATGAACTCGAAGTATATTTATCATTAAAAAATGAATTTTCCGGATACTTTCAATTGTAAAAGAGTTGTTCTTTGTTACTGATCACGTTTGGTAAACGCGGAAACGATTTTTTTGTAGACCCGCTGTGCATTATTTTTTTACATCGTGAATTCCAGGATGTCAACAATGATATATCAACGCAATTGAAACACGTGACTCTGGTGTAACTTTATCACCAGGTTTGTAATATTTGTTATGCAACTATAACAGCAAGCCTCTTACTTAAATATCAACTTAAAAACTTACAGTTTTGTCATATTTATGTTTGTCAACATCTTGGAAAAGGGGGCAGGGCTGTAGTGTTGGTCTTGAAAAGTTAGTTTATTCTTTTGTTTATAAATAAGTAGTAATGAAGTATATAACGTGTAAAGCCCAGAAATATTTCTTCTTTTTTACATTAATTGTTAGCATTATGCTTTGGTACTCCTTTTGATTTTATTTTAAGTTAATATCATCATGTTTATACGGCTGTTGGTCAGTCAACATTTTCGTTAAATTTACACCATTGCTGGCAATAATGCATCATCAGTAAGATTAAAATAAGATGAACGTAATTGATTTGGCAGGTTGTTCGTGATTTCCCAGACAGTGACTAAATTAAGAGCAGCTATATCATTGAAAAAAGGGGTATCAAAATTGAACAAAAATGTTGTGTCTATCATACTTGGCTAATCATACTTTATTCAGTAAACTCATATTATTAAAAAATATCTAAACTAACTTTGTCAATCATTCCTAGAATATTTGTCTGAATTATTGTTTTTAGACTTTTTAAAATATAAGACTACAATTTTTATGTCATTCATGGTTGTTATATCTTATTCTTTTTTATTGTTGTTTTAATAGAAATGTTAAATTCAGTTATGAAATAATGGTAATGCTGGTACTATAAAATAAAATAAAATGATACACGAGTAAGATATGGTATTGAATAGTAGGTGTTTTACATAATATATTGCGGATTGAACTATTTAATAACATTAACGGGAGAGCGATTTTACTGCACCAGATAAGCATTCCAACATTTAGTGTCTCTTTAATGATATTCGAGGCTAACATATTTGAAAGTTAAACAATTTAATACAAACGTTGAAGAGCTGAAAAACCAAAAAAGACAAAACACAGATTTTATTCACGGGTGTTGCGTTTTGCAAATTTCTGGTATGACCTGTTGATCAGCCATATCTTAAACCATGAGTCTGGTGTCCGTGATCAATTTTCAAAATGCTTCATATGCATCCATAAAAAAATCTCGTCTATCCATTCCAAATCAAATGATTGCCGGTTGGGATCCTGTTTGCTTTGGAATAGGACCTTTTATTTCACAACACAAAATTCCTACACTAATGACATATCAAAAGCATAGAACAGGCTGTTTTTGCTCTTAATCACCTGATTCATATTAAACACTCCAGAGAAATAGCTGATTACCTTATTTACGTAGAATTGGTCTCAAAGTTTTATAAACAGTGTCTAAATGTTGCAAAAGCGCTAGTCAGATAAACAGAAATATTAAATGCTGATATAACAAAAATTTGTTCGGTTTCCTATATAATTCAGAAAGCAAATTTACTTTGAAAGCGAGATCCGTATGATGTTCAGTAGCAGTAAAGCTACGATCTCTTGTATGCCCCTCCGCCGTCCATTCATTGACAGGTTAAAGTTTTGGTTTAAGGTATGTTAAATTTTGGGTCTAGGATAAGTCTTGGTCACATAAACTTGAAACTTAGTAGTCATGTTCATTTTGAAGTGAACTGTTTAATATATATGCCAATAAACTAATCATAGTTACCAGGCTTGAAATTTTATACGCCAGACTCGCGTTTCGTTTAAAATAACAAAAATTTCACGTTCTACTGAACATAGACATGTGAAAGGTTAAACTTTTGATTCAATATAAAAATAAGAAGATGTGGTATGATTGCCAATAAAGACAACTCTCCACAAGAGATTAAATGACACAAAAATTTGCAACTATAGGTCACCGTACAGCCTTCAGCAATGAGCAAAGCCCATACCGCAGTCAGCTACAAAAAGCCCCGAAATGACAAATGTAAAACAATTCAAACGAGAAAACTAAAGTCAAGGTCGTTTTTTGTCATATCAAGTTGAAACGAACTGCTAAAAATATATATAAAAAATTACGGTTTAGACCAAGATTTCCCAATTCACAAACAATGTATGTGAAAATATGATGGGGGACATGTTGTACTATGGACGCATATTCTTGTTTTGTTAAAAGTCGAAAGTAT